CAGAGGTCCCACCCAGACTTGAAAACCCCATCAGGAAAAAAACAAAAAAACTCACTGCCATAGAGTCGATTCCGACTCGTAGTGACCCCCAGTGGGCTTCCAAGGCAGTAAATCTTTACAGAAGTAGATTGCCTAGTCTTCCTTCTGTGGAGTGGCTGGTGGGTTTAAACCACCAACCTTCTGATTAGCAGTCAGACACCTTAGGCTCCATGCCACCAGAGCTGCTTTGAAAACCCCATAGAGCTGTTCCGTTCACACACGTGGGGTCGCCCCGAGTGCACCCACCGGCTGAGCCCCCACACAGTTCCAGCCTTGAAAACCCCATGGAGCCACTCTGTTCTGCACACGTGGCATCACAGTGAGTCAGGGGTGATGAGACGGCCACCAGCAATACTCACATTCCACCACAAAGCAGGGATTTGCAAACTGCGTCCACCAACAGGCCGAGCCCTGGAGGGTGGGCGGGAAGGCTATGTGGCAGCATTTGCTCTCATGTGCAGTTTATGGAAACCAGACTTTCAAAGGCCCTGCCCCACCATTGTCGTGATTGCCCACAGGGAGCAGGGGAGAGGGGCCGGAAGCGGGATGGAGAGGGGCAGCTGAGAGAGGCAGTTTCTGTCCGGCTCGTTCAAACTCATGGCCACGCTGCAGCTGTCGGAATAGAGCTGGGCTTTCTAGGGTTTGCTTTTTGAAAAAGTTTTTGTTGTGATTTGGGTGAAAGTTTACAGAGCGTATTCACTTTCCATACACGTTGTCTCATGACATTGACTGCAATTTCCCACAATGCACAGCTCTCCTCCCACTTCCTCCCTCTCTAGGGTTTTCAGTGGCTGATTCGAGACTCAGTGATAATAGAGCAGAGCCACATGAATGCTGCTGGGGGCTCGACCCAGGGCCCGTGGCAGGGAAAGCACCGTACGGGCTGGGACAAAGCCCCATTTGCGCTGAGGCCTGCAGGGTGAGGGACGGTGTCTCTTGGGAGGCCAGAGCCCGGCTGCGCCCGGTGCATAGGAGGGGGTACAGAGCTTCAAGGGTCCATCTGCACCACCTCCCGGTGACATTGAAGCCAGTGGCCTCATGAGCCCTCCCTGCAGGACCTTCTCTGATTTGCTTCCAGGGGATTGGAGAGATGTGCGTCCGAGGCTATCTGGACACCGTCCGCTTCTTGGAAGAGAAGGGTATGTACCGGGTGGGGACAGAACATAGAGTCTTGGCTCTGTAAACCAATGCTCAGCCCTGTCCCATGCCGCCTGAGGGAGGAACACGTGGCCCGTCTTACAGATGAGGATGCCGGGGGCTGGGGAAGGAGACGAGGGCCACATGCCCTTTGGGCAGAGCTGGGCTTTGCGCCCAGGAAGTGGTGACTCAAGGACGCTTTCTCCTTGCACAGCGTCTCTTTGTCCGCAGCCAGTGAGGCTTGTTCTCTTCTGCTAGAACTGTTGTGAACCCTGAGTTTCACACGGGCTGAAGTTTCTGGGACCGTTGCCCTAAATGAAGCCATCGGAGTGGTTGTCCACAGGCGAGTGTGGGCCTCGATAGCTGTTCACCTGCGGCAGGGTCCTGCCTTCCATCCGCCCCTGGACATAGGAGGTGGAGGCAGGAGGTGGACCTGCAGAGAGCTCGTCTTGGTTACCTGACGCTGTGGCAGAAGTGCAAGTGGGTGGCTGTAAGGAACGGAAGTTACCTTCTGACGGCACTCGAGGCTCAAGTTCACATTCAGGGTCACCTCCAGGGGAGGCCCTCCTCCGGCTTCTAGCTGCTGCCGGTGGTGCCTTCCAGCCCGTCTGCAGCTCACGGTGGCCCCACGCAAAGGGCCCTGCACCAGCCACACGATCGGTTGCAAAGCGGACTCTTGAGATCCGTGGGTTTTCACAGACTGAGAAGTGAATTGCGGGGTCCCACTTCCTGCTCCATCTTAGCTGCACGCTCAGCATCATGGCGACACACGGGCTCCGCTGACACGGGGTGGCGGCTGCGCCTGAGGTGCACGAAGCAGGAACCGAGCCCCAGTCTCTGGCACGGAAGGCGAGGGTTCTGCCCGAGTCACGGCTGCTCCTTGGTGGCAAGCTTTGGCTTTCCTGGGCTTGTGGATGCGGCTGCCGGCGTGTTTGCATGGTGACTTCCTCTCCGTGTGGGTTTCCCTTGCTATACGGCATTGCACAGAC